ATTGTAGTTTCAGTCCATCTGCAGCTGGCTGAGCACACAGGCTCCCAGGTACCACATCAAATGCCTTTTGAATGCTTCTAGGGACAGTGACTCCAGTACTCCCTGGACAGCCTGTTCCAATGTTTGACAGGTCTTTCCGTGAAGAAATTTTTCTTAATCTCTGATCTAAATCTCCCCTGGCACAACCTGAGGCCATTTTCTCTCATCCTGTCACTTGTTACCTGAGGGAAGAGACCAACACCCATCTCACTACAGCCCCCTCTCAGCTCTGTCTTACCTGGAAGTCACCACTTGCAGTAGCTCATCAATTAGTGAGATTTTTGCATAACTTGGTGCAGCTGATTATTTTTGAGACCTCATGAAGGGAGCCAGAACAAAGACTGCAGAGTCCACGGCTTATATCTGACGGTCCAGCGCCAGGGTTAGGGGGAAAGAGTGACCCCAAGGGTCTGATTCCTGCTGTGAAGCTGAAGAAAAGCCCAGAGCAATAGCCACAAGTCTCAGGAAGTGTTCACCAGAGCTGCAGCTCCCTGCAGAAGAGAGAGTAGGGCTCTACCCAGCTGAAATGTCTCATCCATCCAGCAATCCCCAGTGGGTTCACCTGGAGAAAGCTCTGCTCCAAACCCCAGAGCCCCAGGGGCGCAGTCAGGGCTGCTTCTGCAGAGCAGCCCTTACAGGCAAATGCTCTAAAGCAGCTGCAAACATAGATCAAAAGCATTTGGGAGGTTACTTGAGCATTTGGGAGGTTGCTTGAGGCACCCGGCCAGGCACAGCGTGGGCTGGCACTGCCAGGTTCTTGTAAGCACAGGAGTTGTGACAGTGATGTGGGAAGTTTAATGTGGAAGTTTTTGGTGGCAGAGCTGGGTAGTGGGTGAGGAGCAGCTGCTGGGGATGCAGAGGGCAACAAGGGTCAGTGACTGGCTGAAGAGGTTCTGCAAAAGGCTCTGCTGTGAGAAACACGTCTTTCATGAGTGGTTTCCTCAATAATCTTGGTATGAAAATCTCTAGGTTGTTGGTGGGAATTCCTCCTGTGCATTCCCTCCTGCCATGACTGTCTTCTGTTTGGGCTGTAGCTAGCAGTGAGCTGCCTCAGGTTGGGGTATCACCAGAGCTGCAGAGGGATCAGAAGGGATCTGAACAAAGTGTGTGGGATATGTGCCCTCAGGAGAGAACAAAAAGCTCTTTCTTGAGCCACAGGAAGCACTGTCCCAGGCAGGACATCTCAGGGATAACATGAAGATCTTTACCTCCCAATTTTAGCATTGATGGGTTGTCTCAGTTGAACACACATGCCATTAATAAAGCCTAAAATGCATGTTTGTGCTTATTTGCCCTTTGGCTGCAAGGAAAAAAAACAGAAAAACAGTCAGATGTACAGATAAAAGTTTTAGCATCTTTGGCTGAAACTTCAAGTTTGGGACTAATGTAGGAGGTGGCAGGAGGGGCTCAGGTCAGGAAAGCAGCTGATTTTAAAAACTGCAACAAGTCACAAGCAACTGCACATGAGCTTCTCTTGAAACACTCATGTAGCTGCATGTCTGATTGTAATTACACTCCTGTGAAAATTTTTGGTGGACCCAAGGACTTAATCCCACAAGCCTCACTGATCACATCGCTGTACGTGAGAATTTATGCTTGCAGGATTAAACGCTGCCTTCAGCAATGAAGCAATTAATTGTTATAAGCAGAAAACATGCAGGGGTGGGGAAAGAAGGGACAGGCTAAAACACACTGCCAGTGAAAGGAGATCTTTCACTGCTGTGGGTACAAATCCCTGTCACTAGGGCTCATTGCTGGGCACTGCTGGCCCGGGCTCTGTTCTTACCAGGGAAGTGATGATTTACTCTGCTTCACCCAGAGAGGGATATAAAACCTGATTTTAATTCCAGCTGGGTAAAGAGTGTGTGAGTGTGCCAGAAGTACTTTCCCTGGAGAGGTCCTACAATTCTCTGGTTTGCAAGTTTCCTGATAGTCAGAGAGCTGCTGAGGCTGGGCATGGCTGCAGGCATGGGAGCAAACCCCTGCCTGAGCCAGGGGGTGACCACCCACCTGAGAGTGCCCTGAGCCAGAACAGCTGGGCACACGCTGCGAGTTAGTGAAGAAAAGGAAGGGGAAGGGAGGTTTGACTGAGTTAAGGACTGAACAAAGAAAATATAAATTTGTTCAGACATTGAGCTCTGGGTACTGCTGCATGGGAGGTCTTTCTGCTGAGGCTGCACTGGAAGACCAGGGTGGTGTGTGAGTGCTCAGAGAAGGGATTGCAGAGCCCAAAGAAGTGGCCCAGTTTCCTCCTGTGACCTCCACCAGCTCAGCTGCAGAATTCAACACACCTTCCTCTTATTTGGGACTATGTTCAAAGTCTTGCTCCTGTGGAAAGGGTCTTCTTGTGGAAAAGAGAACTTATTTTCTTGGTTCTTCTCCTGAAAACTTTCAGGAGGCTTCACCGAGTCTCCAGGTACACAACCACGTAAAGATGAGGTTTCACAGAAGAGGACACTTTCTCCTGTTTCCCTGGTGTAAATGTGGGGTTCAGAAATAAACCACCCTGAAGTCACCTGGTTATTGAGGAGAGCACCTGCTGGTGGTGAATCTCAACCATGGTGTAAATCAGGAAAAACCTGAGTTCACCTGTTGGTGGCATTATCCCCTCTTGCAAATTATCACTGTCCTGTTGAAGATCTAGATTGAACTCTTTATCTCTTCTCTCTTTCCTCCTCAACAGGAGCAAAGTAAGGGAGTAAACTGAAAACAGTGAAGGACTAAACTAGGATTTCTAAGAGGCAAGAAAGACAGTTTGGAGCTGACACAGCCCTTTCTGCTGAGCAGAAGGTATCCTTTGCCTTCAATGGATTTCAGAGAATTGGCATTACAAATTGCTGGGGCAGCGTTACGCAGCTGCAGCCAGGATGGTCTGAGGTCACTAACCAAGTAAAGTTAGATTTTCCTTGCTCACTTCATCTGAATATTTGGGATAGGGGGAAACAATGAACTCCTGCACACCTGGGCTTTTCTTCCCATCTGTATATAGCTGTGTCTTCAGAAATGGTCTGTAGCCCCCCTAGAAATGGCAGGATAGAGGTGGAGCAACCCTACTTCCTGGGACATGAGCCTGGGAATCTCTGATACCTTTTTTTCTGAGCTATTTGTTAGTGAGTTTGTCTCATCTGTGTTCAGTTTCTCTGCCATAGCTGCCTTGGAGATGAACTGGGAAGTTCACCTGCAAGGGCAGCAGGAGGCAGCTGCTGTCCTGTGGTCTTGTATGACTGCTGACCTGCATGGGCTGTCTCCCTGGAAAAGTTTGATGCCCACATTGGAATAAGTAGATCCCAGACATTCAGGGTGTTCTGCCAGAAGCCCCAATGGTTTGGCAGATTTTCCAAGCTCATGCCCCTTCTTGCTTTCATTGATGTCCGTCTTAATTATTTAATATATACCGTTCCTTGCTGCATGAAAGAGTGTTCTGAATGTGGGAGAAGGAGACTTTGTTGTCTCTTATTACTCATGTAATTAGGCAGTACTGGTAACTTTATGTAAAGGAATATGAAAATATTTGGATTGCTTTTGGCCAAATGCCTTGCAAACTTCAGAATCCCCTGAATTTAGATGAATTTCTTGTTTTTCTGGGGTTGCTGTAATCTCTTGAGGAGTTTAGCTAGTTAGGTACAGCAGGTCTCTTCAGGGCTTTCTGTGCCTTTGTTGTTATATATCAATCAGCCTCTTAAATAATGAATTAAGCCACTGCCATTAATAATGGCTGGGAAACATTCTCATAGTTAAAACATGACCAGCCCACAAGCTTTACCAGTCAGCAGTGAAAATGCTTGTCACCAGCTCTGCGAACAGTGGAGCGTGTAAGTCTTAAACAGGAATGGCTCTATAGGACTGAGGAAACAAATGGAAGGCTTGCTGTTTTATTAGCTCAACAAACTACATTTCACTCCTGTCTCTGTTTCCCTTCCTGCAATATATGCCCCGTTCCCAAAACGCTCCTGTAAACAATGGGGAGGGAAGCCTTTTGTGTGGCTTTTGCTAAGATTGCAAGTTGTGTGGGCAATGCAACTCGACAGAATTTCAATGAGATTTGCAAGCCTGTGTACTTGTGCAAAGGGAAGTATTTCATAATGCCTATTCTCTCTTAATTGACTTATTTTTTTTGCACACTGTAATTTATATGAAGGCGAAAAAGGGAAAGCACTTTGGCAAAACAGTCAAGTCTGTCTTTGAAGAAACCAAAGAAATTTTGGATGGATTTATTAATTTTGTAATTAAAAGTTTGATGCAAACATGACATACTGCAGAAATTGTAATGCTCTGCTTAGTGCTCCAAAGGTCTCGTCTCTTTACATTAGGCAAAGTTCTGCCATGAATTGTATATTAGGCAGTGTTTTGTGGACCACTTAAATTATTTTTAGGTTGGCTTTTTTTTTTTTTTTAATTTTGAATCTTAGTCTGTACCATCTGGCTCTACATGTTACTGAAGAAGTTAAAGTTCCTGTTGCCTGTCCTGTATCCTCATTCATTGTTGATATCTTCACAAACATCACTTAATTATAACAGTGAAGAGAGGTTTAGGTGCCTCTTACAGCATCCAAATTGATGTTCACAGTGAGCAGTTGAAACTGATACCTACTTTACATTATACAAAGACTATGCTGGGCAACATGTGTGTGAAATAGTCTGAACTTAAGCAAAGTAGGGCAACCGTAAGTTTATTCTGGCTGCTCCAGCACACTGTGAATGCAGCTTTCCATGCCACTGGCTGCAGAAAGACGCAGCCACATTCTCCCTGCACTGGATTCTACTGTGCTGCAATTGCTTATGAAAATCAATTTTGTGCTACCACTGTAGCAGCAGAACCAAGTCAGAGAAGCCTCTCTAGAAGACCCTCAAGGCCGAGGTGGTCCTTGGCGGTGAAGCATTTAGATATGTTGGAGTAGGTGGCCATGGTCAGAGCAGGCATGTGGATTTCAGAGGGCTGAGAGTGAACTGAGATTCCCAGCATGGTGGTGGTGACTTATGGAAAATCCCTTGGGAAGGAGAATCAGTCTGTTGCCAGCAAAGTGGCTGTCCTGGATCTCAAGGGGCTTTGTTCTAACTTCATCTCCATCTACGTTCCTGATGTGCTGACAGTGTAGGGGCAGCTCCATGGGACCTGTTCTGGGAGGGAGGGCTGTGTTTATTTGCATCCTTTTGAAACAGGCAACAAGCATTTCTAGTTCCCCCGTGGAGAACAGAGCCATGGAGCTTGAAATGTGGGATCTTTGGGGAGTTTCCTACAGAGGAACCCAGACACCAAGCCTGGTGTGGGAACTCACTTTTCTTGGGAAGATTCTTAGGAGTGATGGGAAAATGGGCTCTGGGAATCTGGACATTGAGACTGCTCTCTGTTCCCTGCCCTGTTGCAGAACAGCTCATGGTGCTTCATCCTCTCTCTGAAATCCCAGGCATGAAGGACCATGAGCCAAAATGTTTGTGGCTTAAAGTGGGTCCCCTTCTCTCTGTACACAGAAGGAGGACTCAGAGAAGCTGCAGTGGGCAGAGAGGTGAGGGGCCCAGGAAACCCCACCAGCAAAAACAGAGGCACCACTCGTGCCCTTGGCATTAGCAGGGCCTTTTCTTTTGGTCTTGTTTTGGCAAATGTCAGTGGTGCCATTCTCCTGGATGTGAAGGTGGGAAGGGGAGCTCTACAGAGTGGGATATGGGGTTGGGATCCCTTGATCTCAGGACCAGAACCTCTGTGCCCTTGTTCTTACCCACACTACTGCAGTCACTGCTCCAGAGCACTGGGCAGAAATACTGCTTCCAGTCTTGTAATGTGCTGCCCAAGCAAATGTAAAATATTTCATCTGGCATTGCCAAAGGGGTGCTTTATGACTTCTGCCAAATTACATTATATAAACATAATTAAAGGGTTAGCTTTGTTTGAATCTGTCATTCTAAGCAATAAAGATGTCAGATAATTTATTGTTGCATTTTGATACTCACCCTATTAAGCTAATAACTGTTTTTGTGTGTGCATGTATGTATATGAGAGCAGTGTTCATGGAGTTTGTCTTTTTGAAAGGTGACTGAGTCTGAGGATGTTGCTGATGGAGTCCAGGAGCATTCTCTGCTACTAAACTACCTTCCAGAGTTTGCTTTTGAGCCTGGATGCCTGCAGCTCCCAAAGCTTGGGAAGGCTGAGAGGAACAGGAATCTGTCCCCGTGCATCAGTGGAAGCAAGAATCTGGTGAGGGGAGCAGGGAGATGCTGGCACCACTGTTGGGCAGAGCTGGGATTGTGCTGGGTGAGCTGTATGCGTTAGAGGTGGGACGTGAGCCCTGCAGCCAACAAGTGTCAAGCTGTGATAGGCAAGGATTCAACATCCTGAAACATTAAAAACATGATATTTCACATGAAAAAAAAATATTTTTAATAAGTTCTTCCTCCTGCACTGTGGACCCTTCATGCCCAAGAGGTTTCTTTTTGCCTAGCAGCAGGTGCTTCACTGAGTATTCAGCATTTTAGCCAAGTCCTTGTTTTAGGAACAGAGGTGCAGCTACCTGGCTTATTGAAGATGGGGGAGGATTTGGGCACATGCGTGTGCTGTGGGTATCAGACAGGAGACAGGAGCAGCCCTGGCACAGTATAGGATGGAACAGAGCAGTGGCCAGAGCCCAGGACTTGTCCTTCCTTATCTGGGAGGGAGCTGGGATGGTTTTGGCTCATGGTGGCAGGAGCTCTGTACAATGGGGCTGACATGCTGGGTACACACTCAGCTTCTGGAGCAAAACAACACTCTCCCTCCCCCTCTATTTTAAGACCTGTGTTACAACCACTAAATTGATAGAAAAACAAGCCCAAATCCTGTCGAGTACTAGGACAAATATTTTTAAGGTTATTTTAAGATTTATAAAAATATTAAACTAGAGAGTAAAATACACTTTATTAAACTGTCCTATTTACAGTCACATACATGGACTCACTGTTGGGATACAGAAAGCAAAGATGCCTCTAAGACTTGCATTATCAGATTCTGAGAGAGTTTATAGATTAGTATGTGCAATTATCCTCTTGAAATCTGCTGTCAAGATAGGCTTTCCTTAAAGTCAGCTTTCCTTGTGGCTGCTGCTGAGTGCACACACAGAGCTGTAACATGCTGTTTGTTCACCTCTCCAGAACAGCAGGTTCACAGGGAGCTGGGTTTGTCAGTCATTCATCACTCCTATAGCATACAGTGTCCTATTTAATACTGAGACATTGCTGCTGGATGCCTGAAGAGTCCAGGCATACTAGGGGATTAAAAAAATAGTTCAATTAAAGACCAGGGCAAAAATAGTTTCATGGGTTTTCTGTTTCAAATTAAACTCTTAAAAGTCTCTTTCCCAAATTTCTTCCATTCTAGTTTTGGATCCAATCCTAAATGCTGGGTCTGAAACCCCAAATTACACCGCAGTTTGTGCCCATGTCAGTGAAGGGCTGGATCCAAATAGCAGAAATAACCACACTGAAGTCCAGGGAAGCTTTGGGTCCCTGCCCAGGTTCAGCAGAGCCCCTTTGCCTTGTGGATCTTCTCTGCTATGCCAGACCCCCATCTGCCCATCCACCCACATCTAATCCACACAGGGCCAGCCTGGGTAAATATAATCTATAGTATAAATATAAAAGGATCTGTGTTAGCTGTGAGGACTGGTAGGGGTTAAGTCTTTTATGAGTTCAATTAGGAAATTAAGCTCGGTGGGAGACCTGCAATGCTTTCCAGTCATTCTCCAAGTATCACAACAAACCTCCTCATTTTAGGCATGGTATCTAGGGGGGTATCTGGCTTTCTAATCTGGGGTTTGGTTTGGGCTCATCTCTACCCAAAATATTATTTTAACCACTCTTTGTATTTCATTTCCATACTTTTTCTTTGGTATGCTTTGAGAAAAGATTCTGCCAAAGACAGAAATGCTTTGAGCCTGAAAAACATTTTTTTTGCTGTGTATATGGAAGGCGGTGTTTTGCTTGGCTTAGCTTGTGAAATACATGGCACAACCTGCATGAAATATTTGAGGCCGAGGAGACATGAGCAATTCTTGAAGAAAAAAAAAAAAGAAAAGAAAAAAGTGAATTTTCATTCAAGGGTCTCATTTGTTTAGAGCCACACCCAGACAGGAGGTGTGAGGCAGAGCAAGGAAGAAGAGTTGATTTATGAATTTGTAAAATTATTATAAAGTTTAAAAAAACCAAAACAACCCTCCCAAAAAGCTCAGACTCATGGCAAGGTTTCTACATATGTGAGAAGAAATTAAATCATTAGTGTTTGATAAAAATTCATGAGACTAGAAGTAGCAGGGGTTGAGAAGAAAGCCCTGCCTCATATGCCCAGACTGTGGGAAAGGGCTGCCAAATGCCCTTGTCCTCACTGGGGTGGGCTTTTCCTGCCAAGGGTGGCAGTATGGGGTGGAAGACTAATGGGGGGTTATCAGAATTGTAGGATAATTTAGGGGACCTGCTGGAAGGGATCTCTGGAGTTTTTCATTCTGACTTCCATCTCCAAGCAGGGTCAACAGCAAATCTCAACCTCCATGGGCTCCTCTCTGCCCTAGAAGTGTCCATGTGCCTCCCAAAAAAGGTGTGGAGAGGAGATGGCAGAAACAACTGAATCTGGCTCAATCTGCTCTTTTTACAGAACTCAAACTAGAGAAGGCCCTGGTTTGCCCCATTTCAGACTGGTGCTCCTTGGAGGTCCCACCATGAGGATGGGCTTGTGCGCTCAGCAGAGCTGTGGCCACTCAGCCTGTCCCCGTGCCAGTTCCTCCATGGCGTGGTGTCCCAGGCTGTTTGACCATGTGTCTGGAACGTGTGAACTTGATTTCCATCCATCGTCTCTGCCAGTGCTGAGATTTTGGCTACAGGAAGGGGCTGTGATGGTGAGAACTACTGCAGGTGATGTGTTGTCATGCTGCCTGCCAGCCACGAGTTGGGTCAGGTGGGGGCAACTGGTCATTGTTTGTGGCCAAATATTCCCAGGGGCCTGTGATGGCACACCAGGGCAAACCAAGGCAGAACTCCTACCTCTTGGATTTCCAAATCCCAGCCACAGCCCCATGGAGGTGTAAGATGTGGGCAGAGGAAAGCAGAGGAGGAGCTGGGGTTACTGCAATGCACAGCAGCTGCAGGATATCAGCTGGCTCCTCGACACTGCTCCTGCTGCAGCTGGTGGGCATTTTGCACTCTTGTTTGCTTGTTGGTCATTGCTTAATGCCTTGCCTGGCAGTTTTCCTGACATGCCTCCACCTGCAAGTGAGCAGCTTCTCCTGCAGCCCCTGGCAGAGTAGACTGTGTCCCAGTTGGGGAAGTTTCTCAGTGAGATGCTGGAGGGCATGGGAGAGAGAACCAGGATTTGGGGAACCAGCTGGTCCTTGGAACAGCCTGCTCTCTCCATCCAGATACCTTTCCACTTGTCAGGAGAGCTTTTAGTTATCCAGAGCAGACAAAACTGTTAGGAAGGTAATAAAATAGGCTGAGGTTCTGTGGGCATCTTGTGGGATGCTGCTTGCTTGCTTTTAACAAGGAATAAGTTTTTTCTTAAATTGGAAAATGTCCTTTGAAGGCACCCTGGGGTCCTGCACAGAGCAGCTTCTTTAGCTCAGAGGAAAGTGTGTGGCTCTAATAGCTGTGGGACAGATGGGATCAGCAAACTGACAAGGTGATGTTTAGGGAAGTTTGCAAAGCCAGTGGTGGCATGGGACATCCTATTCCAGCGGCCCCCATGTCCACAGCACAGGCTCCACTCCAGCAGCTCAGTCATGTTCTGTGTCTCTTCAATGCCTTTTAATTTTGCTGGTTGCTTGCAAGGGTGAGATAGACAAAAGTGGTGTTTTGGAGGCAGAAGAGAAGATTTATAGACTTCTAAATAAAAAAAAAAAATCTGACACTGGTCAAAGTTTCTTAACACCACCATTCCTACCAGTCATCCATGCTGAGGCTGGAGCTACAGCCTGTCCTTCACAGCATGCTGGTGTGCGGTCTTTAGCCTGTAATAATTTTGAAGACTCCCAAGACTGAATTTTCCTCTTCCAGACTCCACAACCCTAGTGCAAAAAAAGGTTAAACACTGCAATTCTAGTAGAGAGTGTTGGAGTCCAGATGATGTCCACAGTTGTTCCTATGTCTTCTCTCCTCAAACACATCTTTTCCTGTCACTGGAGCAAATATTGGTGGAGGCAGAGATGTTGCCCTGGGATGAGTGAGAGTAAAACCACCAAGAGGATGTTGCAGGACAGGCTGATAGAGTCTGTTTGTGCTGGTTCCTCCCAGGTTCCTCCCAGGTTCCTCCGGGGAGAAGCAACTCCTCTAATCTGACTATCAGCCCTTCAAGTATTCAGCCCAATCTCTGTAGCTCATCTCCAGGTTGAGCTTTTATCATAACTAACAGGAGAAAAAATTCCTTTTGAAGGGAAGAGGCATTCTCCTTGTTAGACTCTGAAAGTGAAGCACATGCACATGGCCCTGGTGCTTTTGCTGCTGGAGTCATTAAATCAGTTTAATTTGGCTGTATCAATGCGCCTGATGCATGGCAGGCAGCACCAACACACCAAAGCTTGGGCGCCCTCCTGCAGGAAGGCCTGGGCTTCAGGAAAGGGAAGAAGGCAAGTAGGAAACTGAAAACCAGCCTCAGGGAGTGATAGTTTGCCACTGCTTCATTAGGAGAATTGAAATAACCCATTAGGGAGCAGGCAGGAGAAATTTGTTGGTCTTATGAAGTGAGCAGCCGTTGCTTTTAGAGCCATGCACAGGAGCTGCCAGGCCCAACAGAGGATGGGCCCAGGGGATGTTTTTGCTTAGGAAAGGGAAAATGCTGTGCAGCTGATCTCAGTGAGCTGAGCTGTGAGGGAAGGGCACTGCACCATGGCAGTACAATGGTCAAACATCCCCAAGGGTGTGCCTGTAAATGGTGTTTCCATCTGGTGTTGGGGAGAGAAGGAACAAGCTCTGTGCCCTGAGGGCTGGGACAGTGGGATGTGGCTGTCAGGGGCACTGAAACACCCAGCAGAGGTCAAATTTTAGCAGAGGAAGAACACGAAGAAATGTGAGAAAGGGAATTAAATGACTCCTGGTCCTGGGCAGAGTGGTCAGTCCCCCTGACTCCGAGTAAACATTCTGTTGCCCAGCAACTATTAAGTTGCCAAGTAAACATTCACAGAGGTTGGAGTAGCCATAGGGCCTCTCCAGGGCTGGAGAAGCCACGGGGCTGCAGAGGCCGTAGGTCAAGGAAGGTGTCAGGAAAGCAGAGGCAAGAGGCTCCCAGGTTCATCCCCTGCCTGGTGCCTCTCCCACTGAGCCCTCAGGGTGAGGGGCAGCCCTGAGCTGAGCTGGGAAAGAAGCAGTGCTAGCAGGACCTGGGCTCTCTGCTTCCTCCTGGTGGCTGGAGCAATGGAGACCTGGAGAAAAGAGGAGATGTCAGCCCATTTCCTCAGGATGTGCAAGGTGGAACTCCCATCCTTCCTCAGGTGAGGGGGTTCTTCCACCAGCCTGCATCCTTTTCTCCAGCCTTCTCCATCCCTCTGTCCCTCACCATGGGAAGATCCCATCCTTATGTCCATCATTTCTGCCTCCTCTTGTAACCCCTTCCCCAGCTCTGTTCCTCCCTGTAACACCCCTTTGCTTTGCCAGGGGGATGCCTGTGGGGAGGGTGGGGATGCCATGCTGCCAGATGGGATCTGAGATGGTGTTGGGGGGCTCTGCCCCATCACCCTACCCGGGACACAACCCAACATCCAGAGCAATCCAACACCCTGCCAAGGAACTTGATTCAGTGTGTAGCCTCAAGGAAAACTCCTGTGGCAGGGAACGCAAAGTGACAGAGGAGGACTCCCAATCTTCACTTCTTCAGCTCTTGAAGAAGAAGAAAGAAGCCCGAGAGATGAAAAAGGCCATGGCAGAGAAAGAAGAGGTGAGAAAGATGGGTGGGTGCTGGCTCATGGTTGGGATGTTTTTTGGAGGCTTTTTGGAAGGCAGGTGACAGATTTTGGGCACAGGCAGCCATGTCACCCCCACTCTGGTGCTGCCAGGCCTTCAGGGAGAAGATGAAAGTCATCGCTGACCGGTGGAGGGACCTGCATGCCAAGAGGGCCCAGCTGAAAGCCCGTGTGGAGAGGTCTGGAAGGACTGTGCAGGTACACCAGATGACCTTGAGCTGCAGCACCAACTCCTCCCCTCCCTTGGGGAAGAGATTCTTGGACCTGCACTCCTGTTCAAGTGTCCTGTTGAGACTGGAGCTGTGAGCAACAGGACTGGCAGGGCACAAGGTTTTGTGTCTTTGCTAGATATGGGAAGCCCTGATAGGTCTTGGGTGGAAAAGAACTTGTCCTGTACCAGTGAGATCTCCTGCAGACCCAAAATATCCCCCAGGAAAGGTGCTAGCCTTATCCCCACTGCTGACATCCAGATGTCTCCAGGGTGCAGATCCAAGCAGGTCTGAAATTCAGACTGCCATCCCAGGTACTGGTCTCCAGGACCAAAGGGTCAATGCAAGAGGGATGGCCCTGTGAAACAGGGAGAGGAAATGTTCCCAGGGTGGTCCAGTGTTGGTCTCTCCTCTCTGAAGATATGTGTACTACTGCTGGTAGGTAATCTAGCTCCATCTTAGCTTTCCTTCCCTTCCTTCTCTCTGCATGTGCATGTGTGCTGCCGGGGGAAACCACCAGAAAAATGAAGAGTTACGGATCCAGGCTCTGAAGATAAAAAATAAACAGAGAGAGGAGCAGATTGAAAAGGATTGTGAGCTTTTGAGAGCCAAGATGGAACTGGAAACCCTCAGAAAAAAACACCGGAAACTCTACAAAAAAGTGCAGAAGTACTCCATCTTCAAGAAATACCTGGAGGATGTGGTGGAGGTCTCACAGGTGAGTTTGGACATAAGTGAGACAGATTACAGCCTTGGGGAGAGCCTTAGATAAATGTTAAAACTAGAAAAGATAGGGCAAGTCCAGGACACTGGACACTTGCTCAAACGCAGAGACCTCAGATGGGATGGAAAAAACAACCTACAATCAAAGTGAGCCACAGGGAGCAGAGTTACAGTAGGAGAATCAGAACAGCAAGTGGAAGATTGAGAAAAGCAAAGAAAAAACCATGAAAAGTGGGAAAAGCTTAGGGCTGGGGGGAATAGGAACACCTTTGTGCCACTGTTTCAGGTCAGATGAATTGTTTGGGAGAAATGAAAAGTTGCCCAGAAAGTGTCCCCAGGCAGTTGCCAAAAAGCTGTGCTCTCTCTTGAGGATGTCAGAACATCACTCCAACTACCCCAGCTGTGGCCTCCCAAGTCCTGGGGATGTGGCTCTGGATGCTGCAGTTGTTCTTTGTGGTTTATCAGAGCACTGCTCACCTGGGGAGAAGGTGCAGTACATCCCCTTGCTTATGGCAGTGACAGCTGTGGGTGTGGCACAGTGGGAATGTGGCAATGCTCAGGAACCAGCTGGGGCAATAGTCTCATGAGGAAGGACAGAATCCCAGAACAGCTAGAGCTGGGGAAGGTGGGAAGATCTTTCAGGAGGGAGAAGCATTGGCTCAGGTAAGGACAGGGTGCCAAATGACACGAGAGCTGCAAGCTGGTGAGAGAAGGGCAAAGAGTCACTAACACCAGGAACCCTGTGCTGCAGTTTGAGGACATCTCAGAAGTCACTGCAGAGTACAAGTTGCTGGTGAGGACACGGAAGGACCTTCTGCAGTCACAACAGGGGCACAAGCAACTGACTGAGCAAGACAATATGTTCCTGGAGCAGTACAAAGCACAGAAAGAAGCTGAGATTCTTCAGTACAAAAATGAGCTGGTGCAGCTCAAACTACGTTTTTATCAGGCTCAAAGTGACATCCCCCTCTGGGTAAGGAATTCTGGGGTGGACAGGGGAAGATCTCCAAGCCTGGCTCTGTCAAGGCTGGCTGATGGCTCATCCTTCAGCAATGGGGTCACAGCAGAGTCCAGGAACAGTCTCTGAGACTGGAAGAGATTCCTAATTTCATCCCCCTCCATGGTGTTGGAGAAGGAAGAATGGCAGACTAGTCTGGAGTATGAAACTTAGGGTCTCCAAGCCAGGGTCTCTGGTGCTGAAGCATGACCTTTGCTAGGGTATGTCCCCATGCTGCATGTGCCCTCTCCTCCAGGAGGCTCACTGGGCTGACATCCAGGACAGGACTTCCAAGAAAACCGGGAAGCTGTGGACTATCAAGCTGGCCATCCACAACCTTTTCCAGTCCACCAACACACGGCTGCAAGCAGAGTGGAATGTGTTGGAGTGTAACAGCTGCAGACAGCTGAACATGGTAAAGCCAAGCCAGGAGGAGGAGCAGTAACAAGTCTCCACTGCCCCAAGGGAGGGGAGAGCCCACAGAGCCTACAGACACCTTCCTTTTCACTGGGGCTCTCTCAGGCATGGGGCAGGGGCAGGGCACACCAGGCAAACCTGACTCTTCTGAGGAGGTAGGGCAGGGTCCTTGCCTGGCAGGAGTGGGAGCCAGGCAGGCTGAGGCAGGGGATGCAGGGGATGCAGATCAAGCCATGGCCAGCACTGGGTTTATTCACCCTTGCCCTGAACTCAGGCTCACCCACAAAAGTCCATTCTGGTGGTGCACATCCAGCAAGGCAAATGCCTTTTCCTGCTGCTCTGTTTCATTGGTGACATTTGCCATCTGAAAGGGCCAACAGGCCTCCCTGTGACTCCTGTTCCCATCCCTGCCCTGAGCTCTGCCATCTCTCTTTTCCACCCTAGATACAGCAGTTTATCCAACACCTTAAAGACATCCAGTTCTATGCAGGAGATGCAGAAGCACCAGAGGGTTGCTACACCTCTGAAGACAAAAGGGACATAGCAGCATGACCTGTCTTGCCAGTGAAGGTTCAGTGGGTTGGGAAGGGAAAAAGGAGGACAAGAGAACCCTACAGATACACTAGACTAAAATAAATAATAAAGGTGTCTCTTCATTTCCTGGGAAGATTGGACACATCAGAGCAACTCCATCCCACAGCTTCACCCCAGACAGCACTGGAGGCCTTCCTTAGAATTCTGGTTGCATGACACAGTGTTCCTGCAAGGCTGGCAAGATTGTGAGAGCAGGCTGGGACAGGAGTATGGTTTCAATCAGTACTAATGTTCACATTTGGACATCCCACTCAACCTAAGCTCTTAGATATTTGAGAGACACGTCACAACGAGGTGGGGAGACTGTGCTTCAGAAGAGCTTCAGAGAGTTCCCACCACCACACCCAGCACTTCCATGGATGTGGATTTCTCTGCACAGCCATGTGTTATGGACTAAAGCTCACCTTCCCCCTAAGATCTTAGGGAAAGTGTGGAGAATGGATATAGGTGACAGATGAACCAGCCAAAGCTGAGCATTTTGCTGCTCATCATGTGTGCCACCAAGATGAATGCAAAACAAGAGGACTAACAGTGGCTCTGGGGACACACTTTGGTGGTCAGTCAGGCTCCACAGTCTTTCGGGGAGAAATTTTTTATGCACCAAGGCCTCAATGACATAAGCTTACAGATTTTGAGGCAAGAGGCCATTGATCACATACTCTTGCTCCCTGCTCTTCTGTCCTGAGCTGGGGGAAGAAGAGGAAATAAAACTCTCTGAGACAGAAAGGGAAAGGTTGCACAGTTCAATGCAGAAATGCTGTGTGTGATGCTCAGCTGTCTCCTGGCTTTGAGTGGGATTTGGGACGAGCAGGGCTGGAAATCAGGGAATAAGCTTTGAGGGCATGTCCCAAAACACCCACCACTCATTCAGAGGGATGTTTCCATCTTCCTCATCCTCACTGTGGTGACTTGTTCAGAGGGATGTTTCCACTTTCCCCATCCTCACCGTGGTGCAGTGTCCTTGCAATTGCTGGCTTTTTTAGGTCATGGCCTAGAGATAATTTGGAAGAATTAAAGATTGGTGTTAAAAAAGCAGTTCAAGTTCTTCAGTGTAGTGAGCATGTGAGTGAGCATGAATCCCAAACTGGCTCTTTTTAGCCAGGCAGGTTCTGCCATCCACTTGGTTTGATCTTCCAAAAAAACAGGGTGTGAACTTTGATATTTCCACATTGTATGGCAAGAAATAACGTGTCTCTAACAGTTTTAATCCTGGGTATTACCTCTCCTCCAAACTTCAGAGATTTACTGATATACACACCCTGCCTTCCCGCATGCGGATGGGTAATTAGGAAGAAAAAATCCTCTTTGTGTGTTGGTACATGTCCTTCTAAGCAATCCCAATTTCCATAGGGATCACATGGGGCTGAAATGCAGCTGTTGCTGGTAACCTGTGTGCTTTGCAGTGCATTGTGCTCATAAATAAAAAGTGTGACAAATTTCAGTACCTAATCTTTTACACAAGAGAACTAAATGAGGTCTTCAGAGCCTTGTGCCAACACAGGAATTTATAACATGTTTGAATATTCTTACAGGAAATTTCAGAATCATATAAATTGAATGCATTAGATTGAATGGTCGTGTGGATTATTACCTTTGATTTTTTTAAAATGTATTTTCATGATAAAGGTTAAAACCAACAAATTAAAGCCTTTAATTAACATCCTCTTAGTTGGGAATATAACTATTATGGAAAAGTTTTCATTTTATAGCTATGCTTTTAAAATGAGGATACAGAAATGTAGAACTTTATATCTCAAACAATAATGTTTCTTTCACTATCCTCACATGAGCCTGGAGCAGTTGCCTTCATCTCTCCACATCACACTGCCATGAGCTGGGAAAGAAAGATGAAATCCAAGGCTGTTATAGAGAATCTTATTTTTTTGTTTGTTTTGGTTTGGTGGCTTGGGATTTCTTTTTTATTTCCTTTTTTTTTTGTTTTGTTTTTTTTTTTTTGGTTGTTTGTGGGTTTTTTATTTAGGTTTTTTTATTAATTCATTAATGCCTCTTTTTAAATTAAAAATTTGAAGGAATTAAAAGCTCTACACTGTTTTTCAGGTGAACACCAACTCTTAACTAAGACAAGGCAGTGCAAGGCCTTTGTTTCTTCTTTAAATTCTAGTATAACTGAGTTTTTTTGACATTAATTGGGCTACTAAGGGTTCTGGACACAGGCTGAAACTGAAATCTGAGTGCATAACAGGAATCCATTCAGCGGTTAAGGAGTATCAGGGAAAATTTGTTCTTGGAATTATATTGAAACAATTCCAATGTATCTTCACTGGAATTAATTAGTTTATTTTGGATTCATTCTCTTGTAAGTAGGACATTGGCAGCAGCAGGGATAAGAAAGTGGCTTTCTCTGAAATAGGACAGAGAAAGAAAGGAATGCAATCTAGGAAATGACACAGCATTGGTCTCTTAAGGAAAACCTCTTTCTATAACTTTTTTGCCTTATTGTATATTTTGCAGAAGAAAAAATAGTAAAAATTAAATGAAATGATAGATGTGTGTGAGGGAGACAGGATGACTCCTGTTTAGAATTTGGTTTAAAATTTGAGAATATTCGTGTGATTATTCCTCAGGCAGATCTTTCTCATGGGGGCAGGCAGCCACTGGGATCCACTCTCCTTCCTCGTGCTGTGTGGCACTGGGTTGTGTACAAATTAAAGACCAACAGACTGTGCTGTTCCCAGGCTGGCCTTGGGGTCATTCTTTCATCAGGAGCTCAAACCCTGGTGTGCAGCAAATCCTCCACCGTTATATGGAATTGCAGCCAGTGCAAGTGCAGCCCAGTCACTTCATGTGAGTAAATCAGGACAAATTCCCACGGTTACTGTGATTATGTGATGTTTATCTCATGTTACATCCTGGGCTTCAGGGCAGGATGGTCTCAGTGCCCTGCTACAGCTGTACCTGTCCCAAAGGTCTGGGATTCCTGGGGGCTATCCTGCATTCAGGGTGAAACATCTCTTTTTGTGCCCTGCAACACCCACAGCTATTGGATTAAATGTGGAACACTGGGCTTGTCCTCTGCCAGGATCTCACCTTCCACAGCTCCTACAAAATGCTGATTTTATGTCCACAAATGTACAGCCCAATTTGATTCTTCCCCTCTACTCCACTCGGCTGAATTCCCACCTGGATCTCAGGTGGGATCCAGCTCTGGCATCCCCCAACATAAGAAGGACACGGACCTGCTGGAGCAAGTTCTAAAAGAGGTCACAAGGATGCTTCAAGGGCTGGAACACCTCTGCTATAGAGACAGGCTGAGAGAGCAGGGGGTTGTTCAGCCTGGAGAAGGCTCTGGGGAGATGTTACAGCATCTTCCAGTACCTAAAGGGTCTCCAGGAGAGCTGGAGAGGGACTTTTGATAGGGCCATGGCATGATAGGACAAAGGAGAATGCCTTTGACAGAGAGCAGGTTTAGATTAAATTTTAGAAGAAATTCTTTATTGTGAGGGTGGTGAGGCACTGGAATGGGTTGCCTGGAGAAGCTGTGGATGTACCATCCCTGAAAGTGTTCAAGGCTAGGCTGGATGGAGCCTTGAGCAACCTGGTCTTGTGGAATGTGTCCCTGCCCGTATCTGGGGAGTGGAATTAGATGATCTTTAAGGTCCCTTCCAACCTGAACTATTCTATGATTGTATGAAATTCAGTCTGCTGTGGGCACAGCACATACTGAATGGGGATGGGAATTGCAGTGTTCTTGGACCTGGCTGTGAAGTATTTGCAAGATCAGAGTGTAGCAGAGAGTACAATGCCATAAATTTTGTTCAAGTGGCTTTCAAGGAAAAAAAAGAAGCGCCTAATCAGATATCAGCTCTGAATTGGTGAGGCACTTGAACTAGATGGTTGTTGAAGGTCTCTTTCAACTGAAATAGTCTATACTATTCAAAATGTCTAGAGTTTGATATTTTGTTGTTGAGACACACAGAGACACATGTGTGATTACAGCAGTGTGAAAAAAATAGGTAAATTTTAAGTGTCCATTCCTTGCTTTTAATATGTGTGTAGTTCCAAATGCTGCCATTATTGTGGCATTATCACAGCTGAAGGTCCTGGTGGTCCTGGGTAGGTAGTTGAAATGAGGATAAATAAAACAACCAAACCCTTCATCTGGCATTGAGGACTGGGTGGAGAAACTTCATCTGAACGTCTCTGATGGCTAGCTGAGAGACATGCTTTGGATCAGCAATAGCTGGCTGTCAATTTGGCAACACAGCTACTCAGGGGCAACCAGCAGTAAGAGTTATTGGTTGACGAGTTTGCACCAAGAGCTCCTTGTGAAGGGGAGAAGAAAGACTATGCTTCAGCTTAGGGGAAGGGGGAGCAGCTGGAAAGAATACTCAGCATAGAGACTGCATGAGGTGTTGGCTGGAGCAATGCTGAGTGCATGTGGGCTGGATTTTGTGAATGTGGGTTTGCAAACAG